CAGACTACGCCCTGGGTTCATCGATGGCCCCTGGTGGACTCCTGGACAGTCTCTCTCTCTCTCTGCCTAGCCTACCTCACAGGGCTGTTTTAAGAACTAAGCAAGAACGGGAGAACCGTGTCCACCCTGCCTCACATCCTTGGAGGACGGAAGGGGGAAAATGTATTAGGTAGATCAGAGGTCCCCAATGTGGTCGCCCACGGCACCCACCGACCCCTACCCCAGCGCCCACCGAGTGTTGTTAGGAAATGGGCGGGGCCAGGTAGGGCTTTTGCCCAGCAAGGCTTCTGATTGGCCACTGGAGATCTGATTGACTGTGCAGATTTAAAACAAAAACAGAAACATTTTGGCAGTACTTCCCACCCCAACAACAGGATCTTCCATGTGACTGAAGGTAAGCCGTAGCAGCCATTTTATGGCAGGCTCCACCTCCTTTGGCAGCCATTTTGTGGCGGTGCCCATCTGTACCGTGCCAGAATTCCAAAGGTCCCCCCGCAGGCTCAAAAAGACCGAGGATCTCTGAGACAGATATTAAACGGACTACTGTGTCTCGGAAATAAGGGTGCATCTCTCTAAACAGACCAATCCTATTGTCAGAACGGGTTCTTTGAAGCACAGCACAAACCCTCGGATCGCTCCGACATACCTCTGCAAGTCCTTACCAAAGCGGAAAGCTGCCCTACAGATCTCCGAGCCACATCCAGACACCACAAATTACATTATGAGCCCCATACAAGCCCCGTAGAGCACTAAGGTCTACTAAGCAGGGGTCGTTTCCTTCAGGAGCGCACAGGAGCGGAGCTCAGTGGAGCCTGAGCGGTGGGTGTTGCCTTCGGACACACTTCCGGTGATGTCAGAGGGTGTGGCATATGCAAATGAGTTATGTAAATGAGTTATGCTAATGAGCTCCTGCACCTCTTTTTCTACAAAATGACCCCTGCTACTAATCAACATCTTTTCGTAGTCCCCTGTCCCAGGGATGTCCGACACCTTGACCAGGGCCCGGGCCTTTTCAGCCCTGGACCCCCCATCTGGTGGAATGAGCTCCCGTGTGAGATCAGGGCCCTGCGGGATTTATTACAATTCTGCCAGGGCTTTTGGTTGAGGCAGCGGACGTCCCCTCCTTTTGGCTGCCTCCCCCCTCCCCCCCCCCATCAGCGGCCTGGATCCTTAATTCCTTAATTTTAATGCCAATACATGGGGCTGCCTTTGTCGCAAATCCGGAAGCTGCAGCTGGTGCAGAATGCTGCGGCCAGGCTGTTGATGGGTCTTCCTAGCCCGGGACCACATCCGGCCTGTGCTGAAAGCACTGCACTGGCTGCTGATAGCGTACCGGATTCGCTTCAAAGTGCTGGTTCTTACCTTTAAAGCCCTATATGGCTGGAGTCCAACATACCTTTCCCCATATGTTCCCCCGCGGGCGCTACAGTCAGGGACGCAAGATCTCCTGATGATGCCAGGCCCCAAGGAGGCCAAGGCTGGCTGCAACCAGGGCCAGAGCCTTTTCGGTGGCGGCTCCTACCTGGTGGAACGAGCTCCCGGAGGAGATCCGGGCCCTGCGGGACCTTGTGCAGTTCCGCAGGGCCTGCAAGACGGAGCTCTTCCGCCAGGCCTTTAAGTAGGAGCCGCCACTACTGTACCATCGTTATGTTACCACCATTACCATTATAATTGGAGTTATAAATAAATAAATAAATAAACCCTAACCACTAAGCTATCTGATATCCGTCAGAGTGTACACGGTACTTAGGATCGGTGTTATTTTTACCGCTGTTTTAAGTGGTTTTGATTGTATCGCGTTTTGTATCGCTGGGACCCGCCCCGAGCCCGCTTGCGGGGAGGGCGGGATATAAATCCAAATAAATACATAAATACCTAAATAAAATAAATAAAATGATTCCTCCCAGACACAACGGGGGGACTATGTGTGGCCAAAGGGTGAGGCGGTAAATCAGCTGGGTCCCGCCTCCTGGAACCGTGGAGCCAAATGCAAAGTCACAAGACGGGAGGAGGTTCGGTGGCTCCTGCCGCAATTTCTCCCCCCCCCCATCCACTGGAAACTGCCTCCCTGTCAACAAGCTGCCAATGTAATTATATGTTCCCTGATGTTCTGTACATGGTTCTATATATGCTTTCATATGACTGCAATTTTCCCCCCTAGTAGGTCAACTATTCGCTTGTGTACGCTTGCGCATGTATTCATTGTACTTGCATTCCAGTTAAGCTAGGCTATGCTGTAACGCTATCTTCTTTCCAAGGTCACAGGTGGTTTAGAGACGGTCTTGTATTCTCATTGCTTTGGCTTAATGAGCAGAATCGGTGAGAAACGTTTTGTGTTGATAAAAGACTCGCCGTTGCTTTCCCAGGATTTTAAGCGCGAAAACCTGCTATCCGAAAGCGAGCGGGGAATCCTGATTATCGGCAGCGCTGCAATTATGAATTTGCTTTAACCTTTGTGGCTCATAGTGTGTGTGTCATTCTGAACAGAGAAGCTGTTCAGTGACTCATGGCTTCATTAAAGTACCCTTTTCTATATGTGTTACTCCTTTGATTGTCGTGGGACCTGACACTCCCCCTGGAGAGGGGCGCCGCAAACCATGTGACGGACAGCCCCGCCTACCTCGAGCTCCCCAGGCCCAACACCCGATCCACGCTCTTCTCGTCCCGCTCGGCCCCGTCTCGTTTGCAGACCTCGGCGAGATCCTTGGGGAAAGAATTTCAGAGATAAACTTTCAGAATCAGCACACGGGTCCCGAGGTGGTGGTGGTGGGGGAAGCGACCAGGAAGATGCTACAGCACTGAGCTGTAGGGACCTCCTCTCCCGTAGGCGCCGTTCAGGGCCAACGCGCCCCTCCCCACCCGGCTGTCGGAGTGAAATCGGGCCGCTCGCCTTCAGCTCAGTGGAAAACGAAGCATTTCGTACCTCCTTGCTCAGGCCGGTCGGCTGCTTCTTGACGTTCTTGTAGCCCCTGAAAAGAGGGAATGGGGAGAAGAAGAGAGTTGCCAAAGAGAAAGGCAGGTTAAGAAGTCGGTCTCCAGAGCCATTTTGGTGTCGTGGTTAGGAGCGTGGACTCTAATCTGGGAGAACCGGGTTTGATCCCCCCACTCCTCCACATGCAGCGGCTGGTGTGACTTTGGGTCAGTCACAAGTTCTCTCAGAGCTGTTCTCTCAAGGGCAGCTTCTGTCAGAGCTCTCTCAGCCCCGCCTACCTCACAGGGCGTCTGTTGTGGGGAGGGGAAGGGAAAGGAGTCTGTAAGCAATCCTCAGATTCCTTCGGGTAGTGAACGGCCGGGTATAAACCCAATCTCTTCTTCTTCTCCATTGCACCTCCGGTTCCTTTCAAGGGGCTCGCGAAAAATGGTCCACAGGATTGTGCCTTCCTCCCCACACACACTCACCCCTGTCAGACCACTGCATCCGCCACTCCGCTACCCTTTACGGCACCCAAAATCTAAGACGGGGGTCCTCACTCCAGCGAGGGAGCTGATTCCCAAACCTTCCTTCCAAGTTTGGAGCTGGGGAGAGGGACCCATCCCTCTTTAGGCCACAGCCCGGAGGTGCCCAGAAACCCCGGTGGGGGGAAAGCCAGGTCCACACGCTCATGTACGATCCTATGGCCATGGATCTTATTTGGCAGGCTGGATATTACGAGATGTGAGACGCCGTCAAGCAGGGCTTTTTGGTAGAAAAAGCCCATTGTCAAAACCCAGGGCTTTTTTTTGTAGCAGGAACTTCTTTGCATGTTAGGCCACACACCCCGTAATGTAGCCAATCCTAATGAGTTCCTGCTCTTGGGTGTGGCCTATTATGCTAAAGAGTTCCTTCTGGGTGTGGCCAACTCGGGAGCCAGCCGGAACTCCGTTCCTGTGCGTTGCTGCCCAAAAATATCCTTGCCGTCAAGTATCCCAAGTCCCAAGTCGGTTAGGGGCTTAAAAAGAAGAACACACACTTTGAATTGTGCTCGACACAGATGGGCAAACAGTGGAGATCTTTCAGCACAGGGGTGATACGGTCCTTTTATTCACCTCCCAACTATAACCAACTAGCTAACTAAGAAGAAGAAGAAGAGAAGAGATTGGATTTCTACCCCGCCCTTCACTACTCAAAGGAGTCTCAGAGTGGCTTACCATCTCCTTTCCCTTCCCCTCCCCACAACAGACACCCTGTGAGGTAGGCGGGGCTGAGAGAGCTCTTGACAGAAACTGCTCTTTTTCAAGAACAGCTCTTATCAGAACTACAGCTTGCCCAAGGCCATCCAGCCAGGTGCAAGTGGAGGAGTGGGGGAATCTAAACCCGGTTCTCCCAGATTAGAGTCTGCGCACTTAACCACTACACCAAAGTGGTGAAGACGACGAAGAAGAAGAGGAGGAGTAGATGATTGGATTTATACCCCGCCCTTCACTACCCAAAGGTGTCTCAGAGCGGCTTACAAACTCCTCTCCCTTCCCCTCCCCACAACAGACACCCTGTGAGGTAGGCAGGGCTGAGAGAACTCTGACAGAAAGTGCTCTTATTTAAGAACACCTTTGACAGGACTACGGCTTGCCCAAGGTCATCCATCCAGGTGCAAGTGGAGGAGTGGGGAATCAAACCTGGTTCTCCCAGATTAGAGTCCGCGCACTTAACCACGACGCCAAACTGGCTCACCCGTTTCATAGTCTATTTTAAAAAGGGATACTATTCAACCTCCAGTTAAGATCGCTGAAGGGAGAAGATTGACCCTGGCAAGTGAAAAGGTTCTATGTAACGGTGGAGTCTGAATCTGGTGAAAATATCTAGCAGGATGACCCACTTGAATTCTGGAGGAAGAAATTTATTGATTTATTTTTCTTGGACTTCTATCCTGCCCTCCCCTGCAATGCAGGGTGGGTTACAAGAAGAAGAAGAGGAAGAGGAGGAGATTGGAATTATACCCCGCCCTTCACTACCCAAAGGAGTCTCAGAGCAGCTTACAAACTCCTTTCCCTTCCCCTCCCCACAACAGACACCCTGCGAGGTAGGCAGGGCTGAGAGAGCTTTTTCGAGAACTGTCCTGTCAAGGACAGCTCTGAGAGAACTTGTGACTGACCCAAGGTCATCCAGCCAGGTGCAAGTGGAGGAGTGGGGAATCGAACCCGGTTCTCCCAGATTAGAATTCGCGCACTTAAACACTACACCAAACCAACCAACCAACCATCTATCTATCCATCTATCCATCCATCCATAAAAAACTATAACCTGGTGGCGGTTTTTGGGGCCAATTAAAATTTCCCATCTCTTTTCAAAGGCAGACCCAGGCGGAGTGCATTACAGTAATCTAGCACAGATTACTGACCATCTCCAGGTGTGGAAATCTACTGGAATTACATGTTCCCTCTAAGCTGTGGAGTCTCGTGAGCAAATATTCTACTTTGTGATCTACTGGCATTCAAGTGGTGAGCAAGCGATTGGGCTCCTGTGTCAGTCAGTTTGCTCTGGAGCCCTCCTTCCCGAGCTAAGAAAAAAGGGGTGAGCCAGAGGCTAAAAACCTGTGAGCTGGCTCACACTCATGCAGCTTAGAGGGAACACTGATGGCAACCGAGTTCCAGACGACAGAGATCAGTTCGCCTGGGGAAAAAACGGCTGCTTTGGAGGGTGGGCTCTCTGGCATTAGAACCTGCTGAAGTCCCCTCCCCTCCCCAGGCGCCGTCCCCCAAACATCCAGGAATTTCTCAACCTGGAGTTGGCAACCCCAATTTCAAAGAAAGACAAACGGCTTTGGACTTTCCGCCTCCACTTGCAATCATCGCAGGGGCACCTGGTCAGCCGCGGCGGGAACAGGATGCGGGACAAGATCCCACGGGCCTCTCCCTAAATCCCTGACACGTCCAGTCATGCTTACAATGCTGCCAGCATTGCCTCCTCTTCCGCCCGGCGGATGGCAGCCAGTTCTTCTGCCCGCGAGAGGGCCGCCTCGCTCTTCTTCTCCTTGGCGTACCACGTGAGATCTTTCCCCTTCTGCCAACGGCCCACTGGGGCCATCAGTGAGTTCCCTGCAGATTGGGGGGGGGGGGGGAAGCAAACAGAAGACAAAATCAGGGCAGGAGGGGGACAGGCAACAGAGGAGGAGGAGGAGGAAGAGGAGAAGAAGAAGAAGAGGAAGAGGCAGAGGAAGAAGAGGAAGGAGAAGAAGAAGAGGAAGAGGAAGGAGGAGGAGAAGAAGAAGAGGAAGAAGAAGAGGAGGAAGAGGAAGAAGAAGAGGAAGAAGAGGAAAGAGGAGGAGAAAGAGGAGAAGAGGAAGGAGGAGAAGGAGAAGGAAGGAGGACGAGGAGGACGATATGACATCTCAGAGCGGCTCACACTCTCCCTTCCCCTCCCCACAACAGACACTCTGTGAGGTAGGTGGGGCTGAGAGAGCTCTTTCCAGAACGGTCCTTGAGAGAGGAAAGCTCTGAGAAGAGAACTTGTGACTGACCCAAGGTCATCCAGCAGCTGCAAGTGGAGGCGTGGAGGATCAAACCCGGTTCTCCCAGATTAGAGTCCGCGCACTTCACCACTACACCAAACAGGTTATGGGAAGGCGCTAAGTTCAGTGGTGGAGCCCATCTTGCGATGGAGAAGGTTCTGGGTTCATTCCCTGGCATTTCCAGTTACAGGCAGGAGGTCTGGGGGCTAGACCCCTGTCTGGGTCTCCAGAGCAGCGGTCAGAGGACACTATCCCAGGTGAGCTATAAATGGCCGACTCAGCATAAAGCAGCTTTGTTCAAGATAAGATGGAGAAGATTGTCATGTAGTAGGGTTAGATTCCGCGTAAGGTTCCTTCCACCAAGGAAAGTGCCCCCACTGGTGGAAATGATCCATCCAG